TTAAATAAATAAGATATTTGAAAGAAAATGAAACAAAGAAAATTTTTGCAACTAACAAATGCCATTTGTTTTTAATCCGTACAAGATGTGAGAAGAGCGAATAGAATCTTTAGATTACTTTCAACTATAATCAAGACAAAACCTTACACCAGCCATGTCTCAGCTTTAATGATTACAAATTGTTTTCATACTTACGAATTATACTTACGTTATAATCGTCGGCTATCCAATGTCGATCTGTGACCAGGCGCACGATCTTTCCCACGATTTTTAAAATATAAGTATAGACACCAGGATACCAGAATTACGTCGAAAAGTTTTAACTTTTTTTATGTAGACAAACGAGCAAACGGCCCACCTGATGGTAAGTGGTTACCATCGCCTACATATACTAGAGGCACAGTCAAGGCACTTCCTACCGCCGAGTACTATCCGTAAATGTTTGAAGAGAGTAATTAAATATTAGTGTTAGGTATGTACTATTTAAACTATAATAGTATGATATCATTGCTTTTATTAACAAAAACATTATTAATACTTACGATTTCATGACTCACCTTCTTAATTCAGCCCTAGATTCTTCATTACTCGAAGAAATCGGGATATCTGAAATCCGTAAGAGATGCATCGAACCACTAACAGATAGCTATTACTAAGGTTTGTAGTACTTACGGCTTCACGACTTGCTTGCTTGACCTACTCATCAAGAAAAATGTTGTCAACCTTCATTCAGGAATATAAAACTGAATTTATTAATAATAGAAATACATTATTAAAGATTAGCATAGCTGTATGTTTACCTCTCAGCTGTTGTTGGCTCAAAATTATTGACCTCTGATACAGAGTAGGATTTTCATAATGGGTTTAAATATGAAATGTCTATTTTAGATTTAGAGTCATTCTCGGTCTCGCCACTTCCGAGACTTTTACTAATGCTAAAGCCTCAACGCGATGCAAGACCAATGTTGTAGCTAAGCCAGCTATGCTAATCTTTGGGCCAGACTCATGATTAGACCATTAAAAACAATCAGCCGGTATCAAAAAATATTAAACCATAATCGTGTTAGAAATAATTTAGTTTTATATTACGAATAAAGATTTTTCTTATGCGTGTTTGATACCAAGTTTGAATGTTTATAATGAAAGCCTGTAATAAGTCTTTTTTCGATCGATAACCATAGCTTTGAGTACCATTCATGCATTAGGCAGTCATATTTCTATATTATTATTATTTTTGCAAAAGGCGACTTATGTAAATTGAAAAAGTTTTTATTAGATCACCTAATGCTTGAAATATTTAATAGTGTAGGTGTTGTATTATTTATTGTGACAAAATCTTGTATCATGATATTTATTATTCAGAATTTAAAAAATGAATAAACATTAATTACAATTATGTAATAAAATTCAATTATTATTTTCAAAGATTTTCCTCGTGATCTAATGACTTCACGTACATATTTCATTTGTGATTGTTTATATAAATAATAATGATCGGGTTTTTGATCCTATAATGTAAAAAAATTACTTAAAGTTTTCTTGAATTTCCTTGAAAGAATTTACAAGCTTTGTCACAATAACATAATTTTATAGTAAAATTTACGGTGATATAAGATTTTTGTGTAAATTTTATACAGAAATTAATTTAGTTTTAATTCAAAATTCAACTTCGGATTACAACTTTATAATCAATTTTAATAATTTTAATTTAAACAAAGTTCATTCGATAAACAATTTATTTGAATGCAAAATAATTGTCCTTGATCAACATGATTGAAGCTTTCCTTTATTCGTTGGGAAAAAAGATATTTTTAAATTTATATCGCTTTGTCTAGCATTTGGATTCATCTGAAATAATTGCATAGCGTTCGTCACAAAAATCTTACATACATGTAAATTTTATATAAGGCGTAGCTAATTCGCTTGGCACATTTGGGATCGTATAAATAAAACAACAATATTTTTGACATTAAATTTATATTTAACTCACAGATCTGAAACTTTTAACTAACGGGTGAATTACATTAATGTACAAGAAATCTTTCAAAGTTTTAATCTCTTACGACGCTTGGAATGTCCGATAGTTTTGCATTAAAAACAATTGAAATTCGTAAGGGATTAATCCATTGTAGACATCTTTTATGTACTGTCGAACGCTGCACCTTGTAAGTCCTCAGGATGCAACGCTGAAGACAATAGAAACAAAACACCCAAAAATTTCGCAAGGCTTAAAAAAAATACACTTCGCATTTCGTGTTTATTTGCTGACTTTTCGTTATTTTGTTAACGTGATTTGAATAAGCGAAATGAGTTTTAAATATTTCATTTATATTCGAATAGTCAAAAAATAAACACTATTGGCACAATCACTTTCGCCTGGTAGCTGTGTGTGACAGATCTGTCGTCTTAAACTACTGTATACTATATCAAGACTTACTACTAATTTGAGATGAGGCAAATCCGTTCGAGAAGTTTCCGCGGAAGACGACCTCGCAAAACATAGACGTCTCTGCCTCATCTTCTTTGTTTTTTTTTTGTTAAATTGTGCTACGGTAATAATAAACATTTTTTTTTTTTGGAAAGCATGCATTTCCGACAAGTAACACATAGTAGGGTTTTATATAAAGAAAACAACGTCTTGTCATCATTAACTTTTCCGATTTTACTCAAAATCAATTTAACAGAAATCACTTGGTAACTAATCATTTAAATTAATAACTACATTTACATAATCATCACAAAATTTAAAAAAAAGAAAAGAAAAATCTTACAAATTCTCTTTAATTTTCTTACGATCTAACATATTTTTTTTTTAAATTGAAAACACTAAATTTAACCTATATCCGAAAATAATTAAAATCAATGATGAATACAATAATAGAATATCATTAATAACAAATTTATTGTTATTGTATATTTACATTTGTATTAATATTAAACGACACTACTAATGTGTGCTTTAAACAATTCAAGGGAGACAAACATGCCATCTAAAATATATATGTGTATATATATATGGAATGGGAATGCGTCTAGCGGGTCATACAAAGTAAATAGAAAACATCTTTTAATTAAAACACAAAAGGCAAGTCGAGGTATTCAGATTTGGGAGACCCGCTACACCGCGCTCCGCATTTCTAACACTAAAAGTACTATTACTTGTTACCTGAGGTAGTTTAGTTTCGTATTTTGTTTACTGTAAATATTACTGATATATGCGAAAAATACGTATAATTTTTTCAACAATATAACATTTTGCAGTCCTAGACAAATAACTTCTGTAAATACCGTAATTATTTTATACGTAACGTAACGCCGGCGTGACTGCGCGTGTGTTTTTTGTTTTGTTTAATTGGCAAGTCTGAGGAACAAACGCGGGCACGCTTCGACGAACGCTCTGATACAAAGTGGCGTCAATTATATAGCATAACCATTATATATTTATCATTAAAATTTATCAATATCAACTCGAAGAGGTAGGCCATATCGATTCAACATTTTCAGATGCATACTGCATTATAATATAAATGATAATATTTTTAAATACATGTTCTATATTTTATATCCGTGTAAATAGTTGCTGATGAGGTAGATCAGTGTCATATGTGTTATTTCTATTTATATAAAAATATTTCTGAATATAGTCAACATTCAAATACAAACATTAAGTATCAAAAATTAAATCGATATAATGTTCATATTGCACGATCTTTGCTTACGTCTGACAAAGGAATATCGGGCAGTTAGAATGGGTTGCGATGAATGATATGTGCAGTGGCAGAAAGCAGGCACTAGAGCGTCGGGTTCGCACGTCACATGAGGCGGTTCACGCGAACCACCGATCACAACCTGAGGACCGTGCAAGCCACGGCGTTAACCCCTGCGCGCCCTCTCGCCCTCCTTGCATGATATGTACCGTCTAACTGTCAGTATCCATCCATCACACAAACATTATTATTTACAAAGAATACTTGATTCCCTTACATTTGTTTAGTCAACAAACCGGTCTCGACTCCCGTGTAATAACTATACAAAAAAAAAAACATTTACATTTATTTATTTTTTAATTATTGCTAATGAATTTCATTATTATACTAAATTTTAAATATAAATCAATAAAAAAAAAACGCAACAGACAGTTGGCGGAAAAAATTTGGCAACGTTCGGGAAGACTACTCTCCTACCACTAACGAACAGGAATGTATAAAAAACTAAATTCGTTCAAATAACACACTGGTAACTAACAAAATTATTGGATAAATACTTCGGTTACGAGAAGGAATACGAATGTTAAACGAAAACTTTAACGTAACTAGCCTACGTTAAACAAACGATAACATAGAAAACACGTAAGGAAGCACCGGGATACGTACTTATATAATTAAGGATAATTAACTTCTCGAACAAAACGATAAGAACTCTCCGAATACATTCAGACCAAAATTGACATTGGGAACAAATGAGTTGGAAACAAACGTTGGCCGGATGAGCAAACATTAAATTATTAAATGAAAACATTCAGTTCGAGACTGCATCGGGTCCGACTAACCTCCAAAACCTCGCCACAAATCTCATCACCAAATATTTTTGCTAACACTAACCTATGTGTATATCTTGGCAATATATTCGAGTTAGATAATTTTATGTATTAATTTATTTATAATTTTCTTTTATTTGTACCGACAGTTTTCGTTAAGTCACTATATTTTGTCCTTTCAATATAATAATTAAGTCTATAGTTTTTTTTTTTTTTTTTGACATAACTACACAAATAAACGTCTGGCATCAAGTCCCTTTTGATATTTACAAAAATTATTTTAATTACTTTGTCAAAATACATGTTTCTTAAACGTTAACAATCAATACGATCAAAATAGAAATTTAACTAAAATAAAAATAAAAAAACATTCTAAGTTTGTTAATATTATACAATAGAAGTAAGATATGAATTACTTGTGGCATCCGCCGTACTCGATGATCCACGATGCTAGCAGACTCATTAACTAATTATTCCTATATACTTTTTTCCGTATATCAATATGTTAAATGATATGGTTCGGTCCAAACGATATCTCAGAATTACACTAACGTCATGTAATTATATGTTTTATTAGTGGCCAGACACTCAAACATAAAGTCACCTTGCGCCGGACACAAGGTCAGATCCAATGAACAACAAAAAACATGCTGCCAAACTTAATGCACACCAATGTGTGCATACACTTACACCCGGCAAAAGTTTGACCTAAATCTGCATGTGTATTACGAGATTTAGACACATGAACAAAAGTAGCCTTTTTAACGTTTTTTTTTTTTGTTTTATTATTTTTGTAGTAGTCCGCTTGTAAACTTGTTTTCGTACACATAACGGCTAAATATTCTAACGTATTTTGTAACTTAAGTTTCAACTTTATTAAGATATCAACTATGAACCTATGTAAACAAAAATTATTGCGATTCATTTCATTTTTAATGATATGTTGAAGCGTTTCTTCGTCTTTAAATGAATGATCTAAAGAGTGTGGAGCGTTTGCGTCGTAGACGTAGGAGACGTCGACGCCTTGACCGCCCTCGACCAGGACAACGAAGTCGATGACGAAGAACGCGAATTTTTCTTAAGATGAGTGTCAAAGTGTTTTACCATGTGGTCTTTTCTAATGAAACCTTTGCCGCAGTGGTCACACGCGAACGGCTTGCAGTCAGAGTGCAAACACATGTGTCTGCGCAAGTCTGTTTTGTGGTTGAATGACTTAGGACACTCACTACATTTGAAGGGTTTGTTTTCAGTGTGTTTAATGTAATGCCCTTCATATGAGACGTCATCAGAGAAGCGCTTGCCGCATCGGTCACATTTAAATGGTTTTGCTCCCGAATGAAAGGTTTTGTTGTGTTGCGTTAGGTAGCAGGCCTTGTTAAACAATTTATCGCATTCATAACATTTGTGAACCGGCATTGAGAAAGACTTCTTCATTTGATTTCTCTCAGTTAGCGGCGTACTCGGTACCGTGGATGACACAGCCGGAGAGCCACTGCTTTCGTTTTCGGCTTTAGCGCTCTCAGGGCTCGCGGGAGATTTCATTTGAGAACCATAATTCTCTTTATTCGCATAGTCCATTATATCCTCTATTTTAAGTATTTGAAGCTCGCTTATATCCAATCCTAAAACGTCATCTCCTCGTTTTATTGTTTTACCGCCTACTGCGTATCCATATGAATAGACTTTGACATTTTCCGGACTATAAGTTACGGTTGCCTCCTTAACACTACCAGGAGACAGACTATACTCATATTCCATATTATGTCCGCATATTTCATTATTATTGTATTGCACGGGCGAGTTCACCGGATTCATAATAATGTAACCGGCAGCAGACTCGTCAGCGACTACTTGACCCCCCACGTTAGGCTGTGTGATATAGTTTGAAACGTAAACGCTGAAACCCTGTGCCTGCAGTTGCGCAAAACTGGGCAACCGTCCGCCATTGGGCTGATTCGACGTTTCTTGTTCCATAACCTCGGCATTATCTGGTGCACATTCACCAAAAATAGCCGGATTGGCTATAGGCAGATTGTTGATAGCCATATCCATAACGTGGGGGGCCATCCCGTTTGGGTAACTCGGTGCTATAGTCTGTTGAAAATTCTGACCCAAATATAATGGGGTGTGCGTGGGGTCCGGCACTGAAGGCCCCAAAGGATCCGTAGACCTCGGGCTGTACGGGTTGACACCCAAATGACTGAACGGAGGCAGCGTGTGGGCCGTAAGCGCCGGCGTACTCTGCGTTAGTGGTTGAGTTGAAATATTGCTGGTTGACACTGATAGCAGGCCCCTCATATGGTGATTTTGAGAAACAGAGGGACCTGCTTCCCCGTTTGGGGGATTGCCAGCGGTAGATATTGCTACACCTTTTGACCCCTGATGACCATTATCATTAGAAATCCCTATACCTGGCGGTTGACTACCTATATTAAGAGGGTGTGAACCAACTTGATGTTGTAAAGGGTGATTAGCTAAAGGATTATTACTGAAATTATTATCTAAATTACCCTGTTGAAGATGAGTGTATGGTGACTTCGACTGCATTGATGCAACGCGATGCGCCCGATCAAAGTTCTGTGAAGCATATGGCGACTGCATGGCACTCTCGTCGACGCTTCGACCGTCTTCTGAAGGGACAGGACTCTGCGTATTAGAATCAGCATTCTGTTGCTGTGCGCGATTCTGTATTGCGTCACGGCTTGGATGGTGATGACTGGATATAGGCATTGTTGCTGGGTCCGGTTGACCTGATGACCTAACAGCATTTTTGTGAAGAGTGGTGTTATAATGTCTTTTTAAATGCCCAGAGCTAGTGAACCACTTATTGCAAGCCGTGCAATTGTATGTTTTAGGTCTTCTTGCTTCATTTGATTTCCAGTTGGCTCCTTTTCCACCAATTGTTGGTAGATTTGACGATGTTGAATTAGCCGGTTGAGTACTAGTAATTTGTGGCACTGCTGGGGAATCGTAGGGCCTATATGGAGGTTTCATGTCAGGGTTAGTTGTTGCTACAGGCCCTTGGTAATCAACAAGTGGAGGCATCTGAACGCCCGGATAGTTTTTCTGATCGACGTGCATGAATGGCTTTTGATCATGATGAACACTGAGAAACTTATCTTGCGAGTATGCAAATTTTTGTTCGGGGTGAAACATTTTACCCTCGGCGGAGTACGTTTTTTGCTCAGCATACATCTTTTGGTCTTTGAATAGTGAGACATCGCCATTCAGTTGAGGATTGGTATACAGCTTTTGCGCTTCCCATGGCATCATTGGAACTGTGCGAGTGTTAACGTCTCTTGCTTGAGGAGCGTCGTCATAGGACACGTTCTGCTGTTCGCCTTCATTGCCTTGATATACAACTTTTTGTGAATCTAGATCTAGAATATCGGATGATTCTTCGTGCTCCTCTTTTATCTTAACGCTTTCAGTAGCATAGCTAGAATTGTTGTATTGTTTACCAGGAAATTGTTGGAATGGCATTGAGGCAGTAACAGGATTAGAACTGGTGCCAGCATGAGCCGTATTACAATGCTCATTTAGTTGTACGGCAGAATCGCATACAAACCCACATTTATCACATTGATTAGGCGAAGGTGATGGTGTTGGCTGATTCAACGGCTGTCCATACAGTGGACTTGACGATGATACTTGTGAAACTCGATCTTGCAGTTTATAAGGATGAAAACGGCTATTTTTGTATTCTTGGCCATACTGCGACTGATCCCAGTTAAGTTGATCAGGATTTTGTGGAAAACCAGAATGTGTATAATTGTTACCGTACTGAGCGCTCGGTGAGAAGTTTGTTTGATCAGGATTTTGATAGGGCGACGGTGCACTGTGGTAGCTCTGCGGTGTCGCCGGATGCGGGAACTGCCCTGAAGTCTCCGGCGTGGCCCGCTGCTGGAACTCCGGGCTCGGCTTCGTGATCATGTTGTCGCTCGAGTCGGCCGGAGCCGATACGGTCGTGGTTGTCGTCACTTTTGATCCGTTATTGTTTTCGGTATCATTCTGAGAGTTTTGAGTGCCCCACTTTACATACAAATTTTCTTTGTGATACTGAAGATGCACTTCAAGCGAATCAAGGGTGTCCAAATAAAGATCGCAAACCTTACAATGATAGTCCCTAGAAGGTAAGGTTGACGACACAGCGTTACTATTGTTAGCCATTTATCATCAGTCCAATGGAGCACACCGTCTCCTCCAACGAAAAAAAAATAATAAAAAAACGGCACTCCTCGTGGCGACGTACATGTAGTTTACGCTGAATCAAGCGCTACAGGTTAAAGTCATGGTCGCGATCGGCGCGTCTCCCCTCACGGCTGAACTTATTTATACTAGCGCTGTGTTTCCGAAGAAAGTTTTTCGCGGCATTTCAGCGCGCGGGCGTGTGACTAGACCACGTGCGCGCTGTAAACAATCACCAGCCGCCTGATAGCGGACACCGCGTTTCAACAGCGCCTTGAAGCAATCAACGAAACCTCAAAGTCCGGCCGGCGGTCACTATTACTGGCACTTCAATTATTTAAAAGTTTCATCTTGCAAAGTTCACATTAAAAGTCACGAATTGTTTTGGAAGTTGCAAAAATAATTAATCACAAACGGAGAGAAAAGTCTGCGAAAAGTTATCACTTATTTAAAAGCCGGTGTCGCGCGGTATAGTTTATGTCGGAGCGTTAGGCAGAGTGCGAGGCGCCACGGGTCAGCCGGGTTCGGACGCTGCGAACGTTTACTAGCAACTGACAGCCTTCCCGAAGTCGCCTTCGGGGGCATGACTTCAATAACAATTCGCAACGTCGTCCCCCACCGAAGCATACGTGCGAGCGAGACCGCCGCACGATGATGAAGTTATCGCTCCTTCGTCCTTTTGTATATCCTTGGTGCGAGTGAGACAAGACGCGGGGAAGCGGTCGGGGTGCGGGGGGCGGGGATGGTCCTACTCTTTCTCAAAATTGAAATGCCCGGTCGAAATGTCCGGTGATGCTGCGTCCGAGAAGGACAGCAATAGCACCCACCCTTACAATGCGGGCGGACAGAGCTCTGCGACGAAATTCTCTAAATTTAAAATCTGGTTTCGTGTCACTTTGAAAATGGACAAAACAATTCCATAATAATAAATCGTTAAAGTTGTATTTGTTGATACAGAAATTTTAATTTACCGCAGGCAACTAAGTCACCTTCATAATTGAAATAATCTTAACCTTTTTATCGAGCAGCAAGATCTCAATAACAAGTTGAGCTGACTCATATAATGCGTTATACCTACCTACAAACATATTTTTGAATTCGAATGGAAGATATCTGAATGTCATTTATAGAAAGTGAATAACCTCACGCTTATTTCATTCGAGTTCAATCGGCAACCAATGCACCAATTCTTTTTTTTTTAATTACATGGATTTTGTTTGTGTGCCCGTTTATGTTCTACTGATTCTTTGATAATTTCTGTTTAAAGAAAATTGAATGTAGAAAGCTCTGCAATCGAAATATATATAAAATGAGGCAGTATCATCTACTATGACGGATCATTTACGTAGACAGTAAATTTATGCTGAGTACTATATTAAAGATCACAAAAAAGCGAGCGAAGTCAGTTTGAGAAGCTAGTTATATTGGAATGGCCAGCGCTGCGCAGGGCACTGAAAATTTTGCATCACGGATGTGAGAGGGGTGCGCCAACCGAGGGGGGGTACAGGCGCGGTTCCTTAATTTTTTTTTAAGCACAACTAAGAACACGCTTCTTATCTGACACATGGCATGTATATATTTTTCATTTAAAATTGTTGAAATTTGCAATGTCAACGGCGGCGTATGGGCCCGAGGGGATGGAATTTAAGCGTGCCACTCGCACCGGACACGCGTCCATGCAAACTATGAGGGGAGAAACATCGATTTTCTCGGACTGTGCCGATACCCTTCTTCACAGAAATAAAGAGGCTTCCTTCTTCCCTACGATCATACTGTGCGATTTTACACTCGGCATTCCATCGATTTTCCTTTTACTATTTCAACTATTCCATTATTGAAGTATGCGGAAGCGTTCGTTATTTTCCAACTAATAAATGTCCATAGTGCATACCCAAGTGAAATCGTAACGCTGAAAGTTATTCGAAATTGATTTAAGTTTTGATAAAACGAGCTATATAAATGTAGCTTCTGAACGAGACATGTTTTTTTTTACATTTGAAGAAAGAAAGAACTTTAGACAAACAACACATTTAATTATTAGGCTATTATTAAAATTGTCTATAATAATATAATCTCATACTGATATTTTTCAGTAATAAAATTACAAAATCGCTTCTAAGCAGGTTACCGAATTTAACGGATAGCAAAAGTAGCTAGTAAACGGTTAATCCGTGCCTCGCGAACTGTATCATTCATAACATTTTATGAGCGACCTCGGCAATAAACACACGCCCTGACAAACAAAGTTCTGCTTAGACAACTTTAGCGTTAGGTTTGCCTCCACTGTAGGCGTTTATCTAATTCTCAAAGAAGGAGATCATAAATACTAGATTTTCATTAAAAATCTTATAACATTATTCTCGTCGATGCCGAAGAGCTCAAAGGGTGCGCTGATTCGATTAACGACGTGCCTCCAGCTTGAGGTCAGGGTAATTATAACGCATGTTTGCTTTCCAACACACACTGTCAGTACAGCGACATCAATTTGCTAATAGATTGAGTCTTGTAATACGTAAGATAATAATTATAACGATCGAATTCGAACGCACGCTTTAAGAAATTTGACGTATAAAATAATTTTTCTGAATTAACGTAATGCTAATAATGTGCTTTCGAAGTAAAGAACAAAACAAAGGTTAATGAATACTTTAGAAATACTAATAGGAAACGCTAATGTTTTTTAATCTATAAAACGAGGTCGTATTTTATACTAAACTAGCGGCCCGCCCCGGCTTCGCTTGGGAAATAGCGACGCGATGTAAAGAATTTTAGGTTTTTTTTTTACACATTGGGTTACATTATTAGAGTTTCAGTTAGGATACCTAATTTTTTTTAAAATATAATAAATATAGCGTTTGATAGCGTAGCTTTCCAACAGTGAAAGAATTTTTTAAATCGGTTCAGTAGTTTCGGAGCCTATTCAATACAAACAAACAAATAAATCTTTCCTCTTTATAATATTACTATAGATTGATCAAGATCCGACCTTTTCGTTTGGAACGTATTGCTGTTCCGCGAAAAAATAAGCTAAAACAAAACCCGCTGATATTCGAACTCGGCCCGATATCGCGAAATCACTTTTGCGGACTTATTCTGATGGTATCAGTATCAATCTTATTAACGAGCCGCCTCGTTCAACTTGCCGGATAATTGTTTCTACCTAATGATTGGTGTTACAAGTTTGTATGAAACATCTTTTGGCAAGTTTCAGATGAACTCTTTTTATCGAAGTGCCGAAACGACAACGGCTTTGTTTCGATTTTTTTCTCTCATTCATTTACTGTTTATAACGTATTGATTTTATTTATGAATATTCGAGTCGTTTTTTAGTGCTATATTGCTATATTTTTTAATTTTTCTAGAATTTCTGTAAGCTAAACGGTTGTCTGGAAGAGATCGCTTTTAGCGATAACACCGCCTATTGCACAAATGTATCTGCTTTTATAAATTGTTTTTGAATGTAAATTGTGTTTTGGTGTGCAATAAAGTGTATTCTCTCTCTCTTTTTTGGAGAATACTACTATTTAAAAAAAATGTAATAAAGAACGCACTACAATACATAATCACTGACAAAAAAACTTTTTAGGGTCGAGTTGATTTTTAATACCAAATAATAAACAAAGAGAAAGTTAAAAATCTCTTTACATCTCAAGTTCATAATCGCATGCCAATAGCAAATAGCAATACAAAACTGATTATTGAATGGAGCTTAGCTCCGTGAAAAGTGTACCATTATATTGTTTCTCGGTAAATCTTTAATTTAAGGAAACAAAGCGAAACGTTATCTTCCTAACGCTGAAACTTTACAATAATTTGAACGGACATTATTGTTTAAGTCTACGAAGTTGTAAAGGTAATTGTATGGAACATTTTTTTTTGTATAAGCGTATTGTCTGTAGGGCTTTATTTTTAATATCTAGCCGCTTGTAATATTAAGTACGAAGTATTGTATGAATCAGTGTTTTCTTTGTGGCATTGTTTCTAATACAAACATATGTGTAGCTTTACCCGTTGGTATCCTACAGAGTTCGTATGATGGATTTTTGATTAATGCTAATTCGTAAAGTTAATAATTACCACTCTCGGTGCTTTTAGGCATCCCGAGAGTTTGACGTGCAACCTAAAATAGAAACAACCCACTGAGTTTCCCGCTGGATCTTAATCTCAGTGGGTCGCAATTCCGATCCGATAGCAGATTTAGCGAGGTGTTTTCTGCTCAACTTCTCATTTAAGAAAAAAAAGAGTACTTTTGGGAGGCTATGTGAGTCTGTTTCACTGGAAATATTGCAATCCTCTATCAATAATAAATTTAAACACATTATTGCTTTCGCTAGTTCAATTGTTTCAATTTAAATCATCACATCATGAAACGATTAGTATTGTCTGAAGTAAACAATAATACTTTAGTATAAGTTGTGTTATAAGTGCAAGTTTGTTGACTTTTAAATCAGAAAATTATCGGGTCTTCATGTTTTAATTACCTAAAACACAAAGCTACATAGAAATTTCAGTAGTATTATTTTAAGTATTAGGTAACAGTATTGACAGTATTACATTGATAAGTTAGTAGATAAATATTAATATATATGTATAATGTTTCTGTCCATATGTAAGTGAATTCCTCTTAAACGGTCGGACCGATTTTGATTACTTTATTTGTTGTTTTCCCAATGATTACGACAATGGGTTAGATTCACAATTGGGTCCACTAAAGATGCTTTATTAATTATCTTTTTGTTAAATATTTTTCAAATTTTCTGATTTAAGACAGGACAACGTCTGTGGTATTCATTAATATTTGGTAAAAAATAATTTGCAGAAACACACCGAGTATGCTAGTGATAACAATCAAAGTCGCGTGTGCAATCCGGCCATTAACACGTCCGATATGATTTGTCGAATATCTGATAATTCTTTTCCGCGTCAAAACATTCAGTTGCAGTGTGTCTCTCCAAGCGAAGCTGTTCCTAACAGTTACTCCGCCTAACCTCGCTTTCGCGTGCATATAAATACTACACAAAAAAAATCAAACGTCGCCTGAATTATCGGGGCTTATGAATCATATTGGAAATCTTTAATACGCTTAAGTCATTTTTGGAGGAATTATTATTATTTATTCATTATAAGAAGG